GACACAACATCTTTGTTGGTATGTGGTGCTGAGGATCGAACCCGGGCCGCACGCATGCCAGGCGAGCGCGCTACCGCCTGAGCCACATCCCCAGCCCCCCTGCGTGATTCTTACCTGATTGACAAGTTTGGGAGAAGCAACTGGGCATGTCCAGTTCGGCTCCTCTTTCTCCTTCCTCATGAATCGCTGCCTGTCTGTGGAGGGCATGAGCTTTGGTCTGCTTAGGGGTGGGTGGCCAGCTTAGCTGTAAAGGCTCTGCCCCTCTGGGTGCTCAGCCTTGCCGGTGAGTATGTAGGCTAGTCATCTAATTCTGGTAAATGGAACTAGGAAGTTATTGTTCTCATAATCATAAGCCTCCTATTTTGATTTAGCCTTAGTCAAAACGTTCAAAGTCAGAAATCATTTGATCACTAGCCGACTGACTCATTTGTTTATGGACAGGGAAACAAGGTATTATTTAAGGATCTTGCCTCCAAGATCATTAATCCCAGAGCTGATGAGATGGCTAGGAACTTAAAAGAAGGAAGGAAGGAAGGAAGGAAGGAAGGAAGGAAGGAAGGAAGGAAGGAAGGATGGATGGAAGGGAGGAAGGGAGGGAGGGAGAGGAGATGGAGGAGGAAGAGAAGGAGGAGGAGGAAGAGGAGGAGGAGGAGGAGGAGGAGGAGGAGAACTAGGAAGCAAAGTATAAATGGCATTTGAGGCAAGCTGCTATGACAATCTCAGCAGAAACAGGCAGGTACACAGGAGAGGACTTAGCAATATGTGAGTACGGGGCTAGGGTTAGGGCTTACAAGGGGCTGGCCTTAGCACTTGGGCAGGGGGTAACCAGGGTCTTTAGCTGAGGCTTCAGACAGCATGCACAGCTGAGGCAGGGACTCATTATGGGGAGAAAGAAAGACTCCCTCTATGCAAGTCCCATTGCCCCCTGGGGACAGAAGGATGATCTGCTGCCTTTCCTGTGCTGCTTTGGCCCGGTCTCCTGGCCAGGACTCTAGCTTCCGCTCCAGCCTGTGTGCGCACACGGGGCTGGGCTTCTCAGCTTTAATGAGGATTTGGGTTCCTTTGGTCTGCGTGGGGGACTAAGTCCCCAGCACCTGCCTCCTGCATCAGGATGTGCATTTTAGTAAGATTCCCTGGGTGACTTTGAGGCCTGTTTTACTTTGGGAAGTGCCGCTCCGGAGTGCCGAGGGTTTAGTTCTGGGCACTGAAGGTCTGGGTAGTTGTGCTGAGGAGAGGGACGCCGTCCTTCCCTGTGTGTGTGCATACAGTGAGTCTGAGAAGGAAACCGGCAACAGAGCGATTCACAGGACAAAAGGTGTACAATTCATCATGTGCCTGGGAGACATCGCCATCTCGGTGAGAGGCTCTCTAACCCCTCATCACAGGGGAGAGAAGTGGGGGTGGTAAGGCACTTTAGAGGAAGAGTAAATGCTTTGGTTGGGGGCGGGGAGATGAAGGGCCGGAGGAAAGGGGAACTTCAGAGAAGTCACAGCACCTGCTGGTTTCCAAGCGCCTTTAAAAATCACTGGCATGCCAAGGAGCCATGTTGTGGGGTGATGTCCCTGGCACCCCTTCAGTTGGTAAACATGTTCCATTCCATTTACACTGTTCTGAGGGACCTCAGAGACAAGGCACGAAACCACAGCACAACGTTGTCAACCAGGGGTGACTCTGGCCCTTGGGGAACCTTTGGAAATACCTGGAGATATCAACAGGGAGGGTGCCACGGGCCTCTGGTGGGCGCAGGCCAGGGATATGGCAAACACCCCACAATGCCCGCAGCAAAGTGATCCAGCCGAGAGGTCACTCCTGTGGGGTTCAGAACCCCGAGGGTTGGCCTCCAAGATGGCTGGCTTGTCCAGATATGCTCAGTCCCACTCCAGCTCTCAGGCTGGCCTGGATGTCCCAGTTCCAGAAGTCAGGCCATAGCCAAGTGTTTGACTCCCCCCCCCCCCGCCCCCCGGAAGGATGGTAGATTTTACAAGAGAGGAAAATTTTTTTTTAAATTATGGGCACTCTTACTATAAATATAGCATGCCACTAATCCTCTGTCTCCAGGATCCAGATTGCACAGGACATTTTAAAAGGAGCCAGAATCATTTGAGAAGTGTGACTTGGTGCATTTTTAATTTTATTTTTAAGAATCTGAACAGGAGCAGCAGCAGAAGAAAAACAAAACAAAGGAAGACAGGAAAAGAGATTTCCTTAGGAGAGTGGTTCTCAATATGCAGCCCCTCCCCCAGCAGCTCGGGCAGCCACTGGGAATCTGGTGGGAACCTGGTAGGAACCTGGTGGGAACCCGGATCCCCGGGCCCCACCCCAGACCTGCTGAATCAGGTTTGGGTCCTGGAATTAATTTTGCTAAGATCCCCAGGTAATGCTGAGGCTCACTCAGGCGGGAGGAGAGATGCTTAGGAGAAAGGTGGAGATGCCAGGGTCAGACCAGAAACATGGGACAGTGAGGTCTCAAGGGTCAGGCTTCTAGAATCTTCTAGCTGAAGCTGAGCCAAGGAGAAATCGGCGTGTGTGTGGGGGGTGGGAATATGAAATGTGGATCATAATCCACTTGGGTTCAGTTTGCAAGATGCCATACCCCTATTTAATCTAATCTATTTCCATGCTGGCACTCTCTCTCAGTGGAAGGAAGGTTTTTCACAAAACAAGGTCATGAATGCTACCTGTCAGACAATTGTAGGATGACGTTTGTTTTAAGATGTATCCACATTGCAGAGATGCTAAAATGAGGGGAAAATATGCATTATAGAATAAAAGAATTAGGGTAGTTTTCAGTCTATACTTTCTTCTTGACAACCTGGGTAAAAGGAGAGGGTTCATATTCAAATGAGGGGCACTTTGTTGTTGGAATTTGCTACTTGAGTCTCCTTCTCATGTCATTTGGACTCATTGCAGAATCATCAACAGAATTGACTGGGCAATAAAGATGAAATGATGGGAAATTGGAAATAGAACGTGGGATGAATTTTCAGTTTAGGGGTTAAAATGATGTATCTGGATCATGTTCAGCCATGACTGTAGAATTTCCAAATAACGGTAACTTAAACAAGATAGAAGTTATTTGTCCCTCACAAAAAGAAGTTTGGAAGTCAACAGTCTTGAATGTCAAGGTGAGACTACAGTCACCAAGGGCACAATGTCTCCTATCTTGCTGCTCTGCCATTCCTCGTGTAGTACCTCATGGATCATCAATGATTGCTGGAGTGCCAGCCAGGGCGTTCACATTCCATTTCAGAAGATGTTATGGTTTGGATGTGAGGTGTCCTCCAAAAGCTCACGTGTGTGACGATGCAAGAAGGTTCAGAGGAGAAATGATTGGGTTGTGAGAATCTTAATCCAATCCATGAATTAGTCCTCCTGATGAGATTAACTGGGTGGGAACTGAGGTGGCGGGGTGTGGCTGGGGGAGGTGGAATTGGTGCGTGGCTTGGGAGTATATGTTTGCATCTGGCCAGTGGAGTCTCTCTCTGCCTTCTGATCACCACGTGAGCTGCTTCCCTCTGCCACACTCTCCCACCATGATGTCCTGCTCCACCTTGAGCCCTGTGGAGTGGAGCTGGCCTTCTATGGTCTAAGACCTCTGAAACTGTGAGCCCCTAAATAGACCTTTCCTCCTTCACAGTTGTCCTGGTCGGGTCCTTTAGTCACAGCAGGGAGAAAGCTGACTGAAATAGGAGGTGGGCCCCAGTGCAGGCCGGAGGGAACTGGGGTCAAGTAGAGACGCGGGCTGCGGTGGAGCTGGAGGAGGACCGGCGGAGAGTAGGTCCAAAGGGAGGAGAGAGTTTGAGGAAGGATGTGGCGGTGCCTCTCCTTCTGATTAGGGCCACCAAGCTCTCTTTTGGCTCTATTTGCTCTTTTGTTCTGCCAACACAGTCTGTTAAAAGATTCATCCTTTTTCTTCAATTTTAAAAATGTAACAGAGTTTTTGAAAATGGCCTTTCCATTCATCTCAGCCCGCGGCTTCTTCTCTTGCAGCAACTGCACCTCGAGCCACAGAGGAGCTCAACTCTCATGGTCAACGCAGCGAGCAGCGCTCTGGAACCTTCCTTTGCTGTTGCAGCTGTCCCCACCCTGCCCCACCTGCGTGCGGGGCTGCATCCACGGGTCCCCTGGCCCTCTGGCTTCCCGCTGGGCTGGGCACAGGCAGGACTTGCGGGAGGGAGGAGAGCGAGGCCAGGGCATTTACTCCCGGCCCTTCCCCGGGGAGGGGTGTCACACTGGTGGCAGTTCTCTGTCCCCTTCTTCACCACTCACTCTGGGTCCCGGCAGCCACTTCTTCACCTTGGCTTTGCTGGCGTGGCCGTGGTGACAGCGGCCTCCTTGTTACCTATTCTTGGGACTTTCCCTGCATCTGCCCACAGCTTTGCTCCAAGTCTCTTCACTACATTCTCGAGTTCACCGATTTGAAGGGACACCTCTGTTCCATCAAGACTTTGACTGACCCACACACTCCAGTCCATCATTCTCACTCCCAGAATGTCACCACAGTGTCCCTTCCTCAGGTCACCAAGGGCCACCACATTAGCCCAAGGGCTAGTTCTCATCCTTCTCTTCGGGAGCCCCCCTCCTCCACCTGTCCCCCACACCCCAGGGCTTAATGTGCTGACCCTTCTGCCCCCTCTGCCAGAGCCTTTATTTTCTGTCCTTCTCTGGGACAGCCAGCTCTCCCAGGTGCCCTCCTCCTCCCCAGCCTCTTTCTGCAGCTCTTTGGACCTTTGCTCCTCTTCATAGCTCCTCTCTTGTGACGTCCTCGGCTCTCCTGGCTTTAAACGCCATCTGTGGCTGATGACTCCAAAAC